AGCCGAGAGAGCGAGAGAGAAGAGAGCCGAGAGAGCCGAGAGAGAAGAGAAGAACAACCGAGAGAGAAGAGAGAGCGATAAAATTGAAGAAGTTAGAAGAAGAAAGGGAACAAACACAACTCTTTAAGAAGGGGGTATAATAGTAACTTGGTTTTTAATACCATTTCTTATTACATTTTAAAAGGTTTAAAAAGGGCTGTTGACTTAGTGGGTTATTTAAACAAAAAGTTTAGGCTATGCGGACAAAATCCCACGAAATTCCCTGCAGAAAATCAGTAAAACGATGAAGATGACATGGAAGAAGAACACGAGCGACAGTAAAAGCAAGACGAGGAAACGACCCATCTTATTGAACCCCAATCTCCCTTTTGAAGACATTAATTCCAGTTCTGATGCAGATACTACGCCGGAGAAACTTGCGAACGACGTCGTTCAAGAGAAAACCTCGCTTCCCGATGAAGAAGACGGCAAAGGGAACAATCTTGCTCAAGAATTCGAAGCTCAAGGGAATAAACTTGCCGAGGTGCTTTGGTTCTCTTTTTGATTTCCCTTTTTGTGAATAACAATAGATGACTCCATAAGTCGAGCCATTCGATGGTTCCATAACAAAATCGTTATTTTTTCAGTTTTTCCACTGAAAGGGACTTTGGTTTCATATATGTTGATTCGTATAGATATTGGTTTGTCAAATTGAGTTGTATGGCATGTTGAATGAATAAAAATCTAATCTTTGAGATTAACTTCTGTTTGAATTGCTCTACTTTATTTAGTTCTTGGTTGCAGTTGATACTTCACATAGTTCTGTTATTAATATTGTTAGATATTGGCTTGTCCTTGCAATACGCTTATGTTTCTCTCACAAAGCTGCCTTTTTATCACAACAGTTGGGTTGTTACTTGGTTGTTATCACTGTGTACATTGTAAATGTTCATAATTTATTTTCTGTAGGAAGGAAAATACAGGGAAGCACTCGGCAAGTGGGAGACTGCAATTACTTTGATGCCCGAACGTGTTGTTCTGCACGAACAAAAAGCTCAGGTTTTGCTCGAGCTTGGTGATGCATGGAGTGCTTTGAAGGCTGCAACTAGTATGTCACTCTTTTTGTTTCCCTTTTTTTCTGATTTTTTTTTTTTTTGTCTAAAGTCTTAATTTTAATGTCAAATTAGCTCACTTGTTTGGGATTCATTTGTCGAGCCCTGCGTGTTTTTTTTTTTTTTTTTTTTTTTTTTTTTTTTTTTTTTTTTTTTTTTTTTTTTTTTTTGTGTTATTGCCCAGACCCCAACCAGTTGGGAATATATTGGGTATGTTGTTTGTTGTTTGTTTTTTGTGTTATTGTTCTTGAAAAGGATTCTCTTTCATGCATTCACATTTTTAACTTGCTCTTTGACCTTTAGGAGCTACGGAGTTGGAACCGAGTTGGGCTGAGGTAATTTTTTTTGGCTCTATGTATTAGCTAATATTCCAGGATTGCCTTTCATCGGTTTTTAATGATGAATTAGTGGAAGTGAAGAGTAAAAAAACTTTATGCATCTGAACTACTCTTAGTCGTCAGCCACTCTGCTTAATTTACAAACTCCGGCATTTTAGCCATTGTTATCAAAAACAGAACATAAATTACATAAGTAGCTGTAATTTGTGGGAACTAAATGTAATTTGTATACTTGGGGCATAGTTACATAAGTAAATACCAAATCATAGTGATGTTTTTGTGTTTAAACCTCTGTTTCCCTTTGATTCTTGGTCGAGCCAATCTTTTTTTGTACTACATTAGTTAACAGTGTAAAAGATTTACTATGCATTGTGGATTTACATGTATATTACCTTTTTTTTTTTTCCTTAAACCCTTCTTTTGGGTAGGCGTGGATCACACTTGGAAGGGCCCAATTGAACTTTGGCGAACCCGATTGTGCAATTGAAAGTTTTGACAGAGCACTGGCTATTAAGGTAGTTTTTTAAAAATATGTTCAAAATTACAAGGCCAAAGCTAAAAGTAGCCCATTTATATTTGTATTTGTTATGTTTATATGGTCTATCTTAATGATCTTTTACTAAGTACCTTCAACTGCAACTACATTGAGCCATTTTTATCTTGAATTGTTTCTTAGCTAATCGTGTGGCCAGCTTGTATTTTATTTCCAAATCTGTCATAACAAATCTGTCTTATGAGATATTTGCCACTTGCAGCCAGATTCTGAGGCGAAAGACGACAGGCAGACTGCATTGAATTTAGTGAAGAAACGAAAGCAGCTTCATTTAACAGGTTTGAGTTCTACAGAAGGTCGTTTTAACGTAGGAGATCAAGGCTTGGGAAGCTTGTGAGGACTTTAATCGTTTGCCAGATAGAAGAAAAACATTAAAGGTTTAATCGTGCTCTTTTTCTTTTTCCCCCCTTTTTCAGTTTCTGTTTGCTTGTGAATGTGGTGGGAGCCTTGTTGTAAATGATTCTCAGATAATGTAATGTGTTTTCTTGTTTTTGAAGGATTATCTTACACTCTTTCCATCAAGACTGTAGATTTTATAAATTGTTTATGTGACACAATTGCTTCTGAATTTCTTCAAAAGAAGACACAAACTTTGCATCTCAATATATCAAACAATTCTTAATTGTATTCAGACTTGCACAGTTCCAATTTGAAACAGCCGACTACTTTCAACTATTGCAATAAGAAAACCCAGCAAACTTTCAAGGATCACAGTTAAGAAATCATTACACATTAATACTTCTGTAGTTACAATTACACTCAATGCATGCGTAGATTACAATCGTTTTTCGCCAGTTAGAAGCATCCAGTTAGAGTGTGGACCCTCTCCAGAGTCGAACAAGAACGTTACCCATCCAATTGCCTTTGCAATTTCTTCAAGTTGTTCGACAACGGTTCTAAGGTCTCGTATATACACTCGTCCACCTGGTCTTAGTATACGGTCCATCTCAACCATGATGCTTGTTATATTACATCTGCATGAGTTCAAGAAAAATAACAACCAGTCAGATTGTGTGTGTGTGTGTGTGGGTTTTTTTTTTTTTTT